GCCGGGGGGGCCTCGCGGCCCGGGTGAGCGCCGGGAGAGGGCGGGAGCGGGAGCGGGAGCGGGAGCGGGAGCGGGAGCGGGAGCGGGGCGGCCGCGCCGCGGGAACCGCACGGGCTGGGAGGAGGGGGGCAGCGGGTAGGCCTTGAACCGCGCCGTTAATATTCATGAGGGGGCGGGGCCTGGCGCGCAGCGCCCCGCGGACACGCCCCTCGTTGATATTAATGAGGGCGGGCACCGCCCCCGCTGGCGTGGGGGGTGGGGCTTGCCGGCGGCAGGTCGTTGATATTAATGAGGGGGCGGGGTTTGTGGCCCAGCCACTTAATATTCAGTGTGATGTGGGCACGTGATCCTCGTTAATATTAATGAAGAGGGCGGGCAGTGGCCGTGCTAGTGTGGGGGTGGGGCCTGTCGGCTTTCATTAATATTCATGAGGGAGCGATTCTAGCAGTTATTTAATATCGATGAGGGAGTGTGGTCATTGATGTGCATTGTTAATATTAATGAGGGGGTGGTGGCTGATGCTGTGAGGGGGTGGGGCTATACTGTGCTTCCTCATCAATATTCATGAGGATCAACAAGCTTCCATGGCATTATTACTACTCATGAGGTTGCATAATTGTCCTAAGGCATTTTAATATTAATGAGAAGGCCAAGCAGGGCACATGGTAATGGCTTGTCTTGCTCATGAATATTCATGAGAGCATAGAGGTCAGCTGCTGGCACATTGGCATGCAGGGTGGGGCCAGGATCATGCTCATGAATATGCATGTAGCAGGGAGAGCACTGCTCTAATGCAGGTGCCTGGTGCATATGCATGAGGGGTGGGGCAGGATCAATGAATATGCATTGGGGGCGGGGCCGGGTGGGATACCGGCTCCCCAGGGCTGAGGGGGGGGTGTCCCGGACGCCTGGGCCCCTGCCTTGTGTCCGGATGTCCCTGCGTGTGCTGGGGGGTCCGTAACGCCCCCCGCCCCGCATCGCAGGGCGCCGAGGGCCGCGACGCCGAGAGCTGCGGGCTGGTGCTCACGCTGGAGCACTCCTTCGAGCCGGGTCAGTGGGGGGGCGTGGGGGGCGTGGGGGGCGTGGGGGGACGTGGGGACATTGCCATGTTCCCTGTGCTCACGCTGGAGC